TAGGCTTAAATCTCTAAACACCAGCATTTTAATTAGTGGATGAGCAGTAAAATATCATTAGATTTTTTTTTCGTTAGGCTTGGTTTTCCTTGTTGGAGGCTGAGACAGCTGCTGGATAGCATTTCCCCTGCAGCCTCTGTAAGGATGTGGGTTTAAACCCTCAAAAGTGATACTGTCAGTGGCATAAGGATAATGGAATGGACTTGTAAAGGCCGTCAGGTCCCACTCCCTGCAGTGCCCAGGGACACCCACAGCTCCAGCAGTGCTCAGAGCCCATCCAGCCTGACCTTGGCTGTCTGCAGGGATGGGACACCACATCTCAAGGTCAACCTGTGCCAGTGCCTCACCCCTCTTATAGCAAATCCCCAATTGCCCTGCTGGCTGCACTGCTTTGGATGCAGCACAGGCTACAGTTGACCTTTTGTGCTGCAACTTGTGATAACTCAACCCAAATGCATTCCCTATTCTGAAAAACGCAAGTTATTTCAGGTAGCACAGCCTGGAAGAGGAGCTCTGATTATTGCCAGTATCATCCACCAAGCATACATTGTAAATGAAAGCATGAAACTCAGGACTGAGCAGGGCCTCCTTTTCGGTGCAAAATCTAAAGCTCCATGCTATCTGGGATAGATTTATAAGAGAAAGCAGTCCCTTAATGAACCTAATCCTATTAACAGAATTGTCAACTTAGGTTTGTCATCAGAAAGATGTATTTAGCCATGAGACATTCAATCTATGGACAATTTTGCCGTTGCAGAGTAGTCAGCACGTCAGTTCCATACAAAAGAAAGTGCATTTTTACTGCTCTTCATGTAATATTGCCAGCTGATTTTGTTCAGCTTGCTTTCTTGTAAGCAGCTTTCAACGCAGGGTCACCTAAGAACAGATCTGGTATCTGACATAGGGTGAAAATAAAGGTTCAACCATCAGACACGCTTGGAAAGCTGTTCATCTGATCTGATCGAGTTTAGAGGTGTTTAATGAAAGACTTTCATCTAAAACACCAGTAGGATGGGTCTAGAGCAGCCCTTCTAACCACGGAACTGCCTCGGGACACCACACGCCTAGAACCAAGAAAGAGACACTGGTACTAACCACTGAATGCAGCAGAGAAGGTCAGGTGAGGAATGAGAGGGCTCTGGTCAGTGCATGTTTGGGATGCACACAGATTGCTTCCAGCATCTTTGAACGGGCTGCCCAGAGAGGCTGTGAATGCCCCGTCCATCCCTGGAGGTGTTCAAGGCCAGGTTGGATGGGGCCCTGGGCAGCCTGGGCTTCTCTGAAATGTGGAGGTTGGTGGCCCTGCATGTGGCAGGGGGTTGGAGCTTCATGATCCTTGAGGTCCCTTCCAACCTAGGCCATTCTATGAGATGATGTTGAATGTTCTTCCCCCCTCTTAGCAGAGGAGCTTGAGGTGATTGTGCCTGTGATGCACGAGAGGAACACCTGATCTTGCACCCATCCAACCTGCCCAAGACTGCATCTGCAGCACAGCAACTCCTCCCCACCATCCCTTTCAAGCCATCAATCTGCACATAAACCCACCGTGTCTGCTCAAACACCATCACTCTGTCACAGTATGGTTACAGCAGCCTTCTGCCCCAGGGATGGGGGTCTGTGCTGACAACTGAACTTTGCATACCTTGGGAAGAGGCTGTGCCATACACTCCAGGCAGGTGGATCCCTGCCCAAAGTGCTGATGTGGGCACTGCTCCCCCAGTTCCTTGCTGCTGAACAGTTTGTCATTCACTGGTATTTAGAAGGAGTGAGTATTCAGATGCCATCAGGTGCTGTTTCAATAGCAAGTGCTGATAAAGACATCTGAAAGGAAAGCATCTCGCCGTGAGCAGAACATGCAGTCACGCCATCTCAAGCAGCTTTTGCTCTATTGCACTGGGATGGGAATATTGTGAAGCCCCAGTTCAATGAATGTTGCTCTCTAGCTGTGCCACAGGAGATGCATATCAGCCAGGCAGGAAGAGGAACTTATCTCAGGAGTTCTTCAATACATGCAGGCTTCAGACAAGTACCTGAAAACAAACAAACAAACAAACAAAAAGCTGAATTTGAAGATTCTTCTTGATTATCTGAATCTTTCCTTAACAGCCAGAAGTGAAACAGCTCTGGATGCACTGTGGTTACAGCAGTCTGCAAGCTTTTATTGCCTCTATTTACAGACTTGATGTAGACATATAGTTAGACTCTTCTACTTATACCTGTGTGCCATGCTTGTATCAAGAACTCTGCTGGATCGTTCCTGTAACAGAACGGACCTGGCCAAGTCTGACTGCCTCAGTAGCACAGTCAGGACCAAAGAACATTCCCAGGCTGGGCTCCATCGTCTGAATTGTCAGAGCGGTGTCTGCCCCAGTTCTGGCCTGGGCAGCCTCCCAGGCAGCTCACAGGGCTGGTTTGGGAGCGAGGACAGGCATTCCCAATGGGCAGCTGGATGGGAGCAACCTGTTTTGTAGGGCGAGAGAGCTCAATAGCATGGCTGTGGCTCATTGCAGGCCAGCTGGCCCTGGGGCAAGAGGCCAGTGCCAGGCATGTTTAATGGACTAGCAATAGATGTTCTCCTGTGCTGGCAGAGATCCTAAAAGGGTGATTGAAGCCTTGCGGAGATGGGTGTATCCTGTACACGGGGCTGAACCTGGCTTTGGGAGAGGGGCAGTCCTGTCCCACGTGTGTGCTGGCACAGCAGGGAGCTGCAGCCCCAGCTGCATTCTGACCTGCACTGCTGTCCCAAAGGACAGCGCGGCGGTGCATCACCAGCACTGCATGCACAGTGCTTGGAGCTGCATGCTCGCTGTGTGCGCACGCCTGTGGTGTTAGACTGACTGTCAGAACACCCTGTGGGAAAACCTCACCTCTCCTCGTGAGAAAACAAACCTCATTTCCACCAGGCTTTAAAAGCCAGGCACATGAAAACAAACAAACACAGAATTCAGATGCTTAATCGGACGCTTAATGCAATGTTTCATTTTAAGTACTCAAGTGACAGAGCCAGATCTGGCAAACTTCAGAAGAAAAAGAAGAGGCCATGCACATTTTGTGGGCTTTTTCATTCGCTGGAGTGCAACCCCCCACTGCTGAAGTTCGTGTTAGGGCTGCTGAGGGCCAGGCTGAATGCAGAAGCAGGTGTAGCTTCGTTGATTCTGGCAGAACTGTGCTACCTTCATCCAAATCTGAGCACATCCAACTGGGGTCAGAGATCTATCTGAAACCCCAAACAGTGTTGTGCGTCACATCTCAGGCTTCAGCAGGGCAGGGCTTTGCTGCAGATCCATGCCAAGCAGTACTTGGCACTGCCAAAGTGGACTCTGTGTGTTGTATGGTCATTTTTACACATAATATCTACTAGCATGCAGTGATGATATCTTCAATAATTCTCCCTAAAAGAAAGAAATTGAGTGTTGGGCTGCTTAGAGGGACTGCAATAACTAACTCCATATCTTTTTATCTCCCTGTGTTGAGCATTTCAGAAGGGTAACTCGTCCTATAGCCAGTGCTTGTGGATGGAAAGTGTAAAACATTGCTCCTGCTGTACCACTAAAGAACACTTACACTGACTGGGATGTGGTTTCTATCTCCCACAGAACTGTTGGCAGCACCCCCATCCATTTTAGCCACATAGTAGTATCCATCATGAAAAACCTCTCTTTTTCACAAGGAATACAGGGAGAAATGAGATTTAAGAGCAGCATAGATGCTGCGAACAGAACACAGTGCAAATAAACGTAACATTAAAATAATGTCCGTGCACTCAAGCATACCAACCTGCCTTGTCCTTGCAAAGCCCTGAGACTACACAGCCATTGCTCATATACATCCTTCCATTCACTCATACATTCATTCATTCATGCAGACCCCTCACTCTCAAGAACACCTCCTGCTGACAGCATTGCCGCTTATTCATATCAGCCCTTTGCTGCTGTCATGCTTCATTTTGGAGACGTAATGAGGCATTAATGCTTATCTTTGATGTGTGAACTGTGTCAAAATATCCTGTTCTTCGGAGCTCTGGATGCATCGGGAATCCACCACGAAATGTGAACAGAATCACCATTGTCTGAAACTGACACAGCAGCAGCGATAGGCAGGAAGCGAGCCTAGAGCCTCAGTGTCAGAAACCCTATTTGTACCCTTCTTTGTTTTTTAATTTCAATTATTTTCTTTGCAGACCATTTTTGGTCTGTTCTCTTCTGAATGTCTAGCTGCTCAGACCGCTGCCCATCACCTCTCTGTTTCAATGTGCAGTTGGATCATTACCTTCTACTTATTTCTTCCCAATAGAAAGTATACGAAACGCAAGAATAAGAGCAACCTTCCAGGATGAAAACTCCAAAACAGGACCAGAAAACAGATGACAAAACTAGCGTGTCTTGAATGACACTGGAATACAGAACCAAGTGCTGTGGTTGTGCTTGTGGGTTTGTGGTAGACCCCATCCCTGTAATTGTTTTTGCAGATCTCTTTGCACAGATACGTACAAAGCACTCAACTTTTTTGATTTACTTTGATTTGCTGTCAGTTTTGTAACTGCGGGCAAACATCACAAAGCAGTGGTGGATGATTCCGTTCTGGAGCAGAACCTATTTGTAATTACAGATCTGCTGGCATAACATATTTCAATGCAAATATCTGTACAGTGAACTCAACTTGTTGACCTGCCCTCAAACACAAAAGGTACAGGATCCAGGGGAGGCTCAGGTTGGACATTAGGAGAAATTTCTTCTCTGAAAGAGTGGTCAGGCACTGGGATAGGCTGCACAGGGAGGTGATGGGGTCACCATCCCTGGAGGTGTGCAAGGAACGTTCAGATGTCGTAGTGAGGGACATGGTCTAGTGGGAAATACTGGTTGGTAGATGGATGGTAGTTGGACTGGCTGATCTTGGAGGTCTTTTCCAACCTTGGTGATTGGCTCTGTGAAAACAAACAAACCAAAAGTTGTTAGGTCCTGAAATCCCATAGATTTTTTTTGTCTTCTGTTCTTTGTCAGAGCGAACTGGATGAGAACCAAATACAGATGGCTGGAGATGACGTGGGTTTGCCAGAAGACCTCCAGAAAATGGTGGCAGAGGATCAGATAGAGGAAGAGGACAAGGACTCAATCCTGGGACAGTTGCAGAACATTCAGAATATGGACATGGACGCGATCAAGGAAAAGGCACAAGCCACCTTCACCGAAATCAAACAGGCTGCTGAGCAGAAATGTTCTGTGATGTAGGGGAGACCCCAGGGCTGTCAATCCAACCCCACCTCACAGGGGTGAGGGTGAGGGAGGGCAGAGGGGTACACCTAGCCTCCATAGCAACACATGTCAATATGAGAGAGAGACAGAGCTCAAAACCTCCAGGGGGGTATATTTAGGTGCTGTAGTTGCTTAGTGTAAAGGCAGAAATGATTCTGGTTTTGTTTTGTTTTTTATTAACATAACATTTTTCCTCAAGGAAAAGATGGCTTTAAAAAAAAAAAAAATGAAAAAAAAAAAAGCAAATGCTGAGGGAAAAGCGTGCCTTTCCAAAGTGTTCAGAATGCTTTTAAATGTGTCACTGTCAATTACAGTTGTGCTTCCACTGCATAACCTGCAGGTAATCACTCATTTAATACTGCTCTCAGAAATATACGTATGTAATTAAAACACCTCATTTCAAACATTTTAAAGCAAAACCAATATTCAAATGTCGAACGTTTTGCAAGAATTCTTTTAAAAATACATCGGTTTTGACCACGGGTGTTGTAAATGTAAGGGCAAAAAGTGAAGCATAAAATGCTACCTACCACCTGAGACAATCATGTCACTGCGTGTGGATGTGATGGGGACCTGCAGGACACTCATAGCAATGAGATATTGTGCACAATATCCCACACAGGACCTGCACTGCCCTCCTGCATGGCTGATACATATAATAGCACTCAAACAGGGCCCTGATATCATGTAAAATGAAGCACTTTGTAAATTCTTCAAGAGTGTTTTGTGAATTAAATATGCAAATGGGGATATGTAGCACCTTCCTACAGGTTTGTAAGTCTCTTCTCTCTCAGCCTCCACCCTGTCAAATAAAAATATTCATTCAAAATGAATAAATGCACTAAATATGGTTTGTCTCCTCTCCTCTCCTCTCCTCTCCTCTCCTCTCCTCTCCTCTCCTCTCCTCTCCCCTTGCAGCCCAGCTCCATTGGCCTCTGATTAGCGAGGATCCATCCACCTCCCTCTGCATTTGTATAAAGTTATTAAGTGTCTCTGTGCTGTTCTGCTGCTTTTCAGGCTGAGTTATCCCATCTATAAAACGCCGCGGTAAACAGGCCTAAGACTTTTGACCTTTGAATTAAAATGTGCCTGGGACATCCTGAAAATCTTATTGAAAGCATCTGGTGGTTTAAAGGAGCTAATTAAGTTCGTAAGCACATACAGGATCAGCGTTTTTGTGGTTTAAAGGGTCAGAGAAGAAAGTACAGTCAGAAACACCAAACGAGTGATTAACGAGATTCCAAAATGCAGTCTGGGTCAGCGGGGCTGGAGGCAACTGGGGGATGGGATGGGTGGGATGAGAGCCCCCTGCCCACTGTGAGGGACACTGCCTGGCCTGGCACTGGGCACAGCTGAGCTGATCTGCTGCTGGCAGGGCCCACAGTGCCTTAGGCACCATTTTTAGAGCCAGAGACATAAAAAGCTTCAGCCTTGCACGGCAGGGTCAGGTCACACAAGGTGCTGGATGGCATCCTGCCTGTAGTGTCCCTGGGTGGTGGGAGCTTACAAGACCAGCACTGCCAGGTGCTACTAACCCTAACCCAACCCTAACCCAAAACCAGTGCAATGCAATGCAATCCTAACCCTAACACAAACGCAATGCAATGCAATGAAACAAGATGCAATGCAATTCAGTGCAATGCAACGCAGTGCAAACATAACCCTAACATCACCAGTGACCTGCAGGTAGCAGCAGCTGGTTTGGGGTGAAGACAGGGGACCCCAGAAACAGCAGGGCCAGCAGCATGCCCACATCCTGCAGCCCTCAGCAGCCAGCATGGAGCTCGGGGCACACAGCTCCCCAAGCTGGGCAGAGCCATCAGCTGCACCAGTACGGCATTTCCCCAGGGGAGGCATTCACAGAGCTCAGCACTGAGCCTTGCACAGCTCAATGGGTGCCGAGCCCTGGGGTCAGACAGTGGGGTAGCAAAGCAGACAGGCAGCACACCGACTGCTCCAACTCAGTGTATATAGATACACCACCACGTTTATGAATGTCTCAACTAATGCATATAAACACCTGAAGGGATGATGCAGTGAAGATGCAGCCAGGTCTTTCCAGTGTTGCCCAGTGTGCTGGCCACAGCCTGGAGCCCAGGAGGAACCCCTGCCCCCAGCAGCACTGCTGTGCTGGGCAGTGCTGGAGCTGTGCTGGGAATGGGAGCTGGAGGCTGCTCCATGGGGACCTGCAAAACCCCCAACATGGGGCTGGGCACAGTGCTGAGGCAGTGAGGCACCAGAGAGACAGAGGGCTTTGCCCATCCCAACCAGTTAATGAGACTCTGATTCCAATTCTGTGAAATTCTAAGGATAATAAAAGGCCTTTCTCCAAATCCTTGCATAGAATACTTCCTCTCCTGACAGACAGGCGCTGCATCTGTGTGTTGTGTGCACATGTGTGCACCAACTCACATGTATGCATGCACACGCACCTGTGCGCATGTGTGCACGTGTGTGCATGCCTGTCTGTGTGTGTGTGTGCACAGCATGGAAGAGGAGCAGATTAAAGGCATTAGGTCACATGGGAGCTACTGCTGGTCGGGCCCTACCTGGGATTTGTGTTCTTACAGTTAATAGGATCGCTAGAGCTCAAGGCCGTCATCCCATCAAGATAAATGTCTCTGGTGCCCACTTTTAAGCAATCCGAATTCAATTAGGCTAATTGGAAAACAAGTAAAGAAGGATTGCATTAATATAGCCTTACAGCATGAACCTCCACTCCCCTGCTCCGGAGGGGCACATCAGCAAGGTAAGCCCAACGCCCGAGCTCATTGGGTGATTCAGAGCAATCAGCAAACAAGGCACAGGCTCCTGATAATGAACACTCCCCTTTTCACCTTGCTCCCACCTTCCCCTCCATGATTTGCTGCGCCGTCCATCGCTCAGGGCAGTGATCCTTGCTGCACGTCACTGGGCTGCAGAGCGACGTCCCACCTGCAGGCTGACCTCATTACTCCCATTCAACATAAAGACCAGAGGAGAGGAAGCAAAACCCACTGCATTTTATGTGCTGGTTTCACGGCTTGAAGCTCCATGCCATACATTTCTCTCAAAAACATCAACAGGACCCAAATTATTCCCGTTTAGATTTCATTCTGCATCCACAGGAAGGAGGTACGGGGGACAGGTATGGGGATATCTACACCGCTTTGGGAGTGTAAGTATTTTGCTGTATGTCACGTTGTGATTAATAGCAAAAATGGTCTTGTTCCTGTGTTTGCCAGTTTTGACAGGTGCTCAAGAGGCAGCAATTGCACCAGGACCCACTTGCCTTCATGGCTCTTACTACCAGCCCAGAGTCTGTCCACAGGGCTACGCCGCTTCACCTCACCTTGCTGTCTGTCTCCTTTCCCACTACGACAGGCGAAAAAAAAAAAAAAAAAAAAAACAAACTCCCGAGCATGCCCAGAGCTTCTAGAGAGCCAGACATGTTTTGCGCTGGTTGTGAGTGCCATAAAAACCCAGCTTCAAATTAGAAGAAATTAGGGACATTGCACAGTTCATTCATCTTCATTAATAGAGTTCTTGGGAAATACACATGTAGATTAAAGGAACACAATGGCCCCTGGCTGATTGCTTTGAGTACCCTCCAATGCCCCTCCAATGGTATTGACTTGCTTTTTATATTGTGCACAAAAGCCACACTAACCTTTTCTTGTCTCTTCTGTTGGCCTCTTCCCTCTTTGCCAATGGATGGCTGAGCTGTTTCTGTACACCTCCCCCCTCTCCCCGTCTCTTCCAAGCAGCAGTTGGCAACGGCCAACCTCTCACCTGCAACTATTAGGAGAAGCTGAGCAGTCCTGGAAGGAATTAACTCTGGGACATCAGCCCATAAACCTTAAAAAGGTGTGGGCGAGGGCAGAAAGAAACCCTGCAAATTGGGAGGACGACACAGACCTGAAGGGACAGCCCTGCCCTCTTAACCCCCAGTCCCATGTCCTCCGCATGGTATGGGGATGTGGAACCAACTCTTCTCCTATCGGAAGCAATACCAACAACTTGGAAATTGCTCCCATAACTGTCCCCTCGAGCCTTCCTCAGGAAGAGAGCTGAAAGGTTGAGGGCAGCTCCTCCAGAGCCCGTTTTCACTCGGTCTGTAAACACGTCTTCGAGGGCAGTCAGACTCAGAAGGAGCACCCTGCCAGCAGCAGCTTTTTCCCGCAGTACGTTTTACTCTGTGCGCTTAAACACCGGGCAGTGCCACGGAGAAACCGCCCCGAGGCCGACGTGCCTTCCAAACTCACGGGACAGGCGCAGGCTGGGGCTGTCGGGGAGAGGAATTCGGAAACCCCGCGCAGGGCTCGGAGCCGACTGCCCACACAGCCCGGTGCTCCCGTTCCAGCGCAGCCCCGTCGCGGAGCGCCCTTCCCGGGCCGGTCCCCGCCGTCTGCCGTACCACGACGGTTTCCGACGGCGCTCGGCCGCCTCTGGGTCCGCAGCTGCGGATCGCGTCGGGCTGCCGTACCGCGGCCAGCCCCATCGGCAGCCGGGGGCCGCCCCGCCCCGCCCCGCGGGCCCCGGATGGCATCGCCCGGGGCCGTCCGGAGCCGGCGGGGCGTGGCGGCGGGGGGAGGGGGGGTGGCGACGGGCTCCGCCGGCGGGGCTCTGGGGATGCCCTGCCTCCCCCCGCCGGTCCGTAAGCGGCGCGGGGCCTCGCCTTCGCCGTCGCCCACCGCCCCTCGGCACTCCTCCCCCGCCCCGAGGAGGGCAGCCCGCCGCGCCGCGCCGTGCCGTGCCAGTGCCGCCCGCGCCGCCCCGGGCCGGCCGCCCCATGCACCCTCCCGGCGCCCCGCTCGCCATGGCCGAAGGTGCTTTCTCGCTGTCGGCTCCGTCGGCGCGCAGCCCCGGAGGGAACCCGTCGAGGCTGCACAGCATCGAGGCCATCCTGGGGTTCACCAAGGATGACGGCCTCCTGGGCCCCTTCCAGCCCGACGGCGGCGCCGGCAGCGCCAAGGAGGCGGCGGACAAGCGGGGGC